GCAATACACTCATACACATAAGATAAAAATAATAAAATTAAAAAAGAACAACCCTGGAGTATACCAGTTCCTGACACACATTATGACCCAAGAAGATGAAAAGTCATAAATACAGACAGGAAATACAATACCAATTTGGGTGGATGACAAGCTCCCTCACAGGATGAGATCATGGCATTAGCACACTGAAGCTCTACCACACAGGGTAAAGGTCCCAACCAATAAGAGAACTGTTTGTTCTGCATCCCCCCTTGCCCCCAACAATGGCTTCACCCCTGGGCAATGCTGAGAAATCCATGCCTGTCCTTCCTCCCAAAGATGAAAATCAGACTCATCTTCAGAGAAGAGGCAGCTGCCCACCTTGCAGCGGGGTCTCACATCAGGTCAGATTTGGTGCATTGCTACGATGTGTGGCCACACTGCTCACTTAGCAGAAAAGGGCTCCAAGAGCGCATGTGGGAAGCAACAGCCAGAGCCACAGGAGGAACAGGGAACTGCCAGCCATTCGAGTGCATTAAAGAGGCCAAGAGCACACGTGTGTTTGTCTTCACATGTTCCAGGTGGGTGCATGGGAAACTAATAAACGTGGCTTTGTGCAGTTGTCAAAGGTAAACACAACTGGACAGCTGTTAATGCAGGTTTCCCTGTATTAGTCATGGCACTGAGAACGAGGAAAGGGGGGAGCTCCACGCTAACTGGTGCAGAAGTGAGGGAGCGGTCAAAGGGAGGGTGAAGGATGAGGCAGGGCAATGGCCTAGGTAGACAGGCAGGGGCCCTAAATTCAGGCTGACGGAACAGAGGCGGCTGAGCTTTTTCAGGCTGTATTTGAGGGCAGAAGGGTCATCATGGGCATGGAGCCTTGAGATGACAGAACTACAGCTCTGTTTGTTCAGTCTATTTAAGCCGAAGTTGGGGCCTAGTCCACAAGGCTCTGACTAGTTTGCTATAAAAGCTGGAAAATAGAAGTGATCTAAATACACCCTCCCAGTCTATGGGGGAACCGTGCATCTGGATATTCTTGGGAACCGGACTGATTCCAGTCTTTTATATGCGATTATTAAACCCTAGCCATGAAAGGCCTGACAGAAATCATAGCCAAGTTTCAGCTACGGTGCCCTAAATGACGACCGGGTGGCAACAGAGCTCTCCACCAACCTGCAAAAGGAAGTGCAGCTCTGCCAACTCTTCCTAGAGTCAACAGCTGGCTCCTGCTCCTGCTCCTTGAGACCCCCAGTGTCTTGGCTGGAATTCCCCTGCACAGACTGAGTCCACTCAGCATGGCCCCTTGTTGACCGAAAAATAATGTACCCAACAATGAGACTGCATTTCTTTCACTTGGGGAGTGGGGGAGAGAAATTCTATTAATTATGTAGTTCCAAGTGCCCACTACACACGCCAAACACTGCCAGCAACCATGAGTATTTGCACAAATATCCTAACAGATATAAAGAAACACATTACCATTTCATGCCTAAGAAAATTCTAAAATGGCTTCTTACACTACCACCTAATTCTTTTTAAAAACTCTCCAATTACTTCAATTTTTTACCAATGATTTTTGTTGGCGTGTGGATTCCCTCAAATCAAAAGGACATTTGGTTGTTGCTCCTCCCTAATAGGTTTGACTCCAGATCTCTAAATAGCCATGGTGGTTCTCCAGAAAACAAATTGGGAGACTACAATCTGGGAGAGGGAATTCTCTCTGACTGCTTTCACATCATTTCTCTGAAGAACATCAGGGGAAGTTTTTGTTTTTTAAAAAGAAAAAAAACCATTTCCAGCTCAGATTTAAGTTAAAATGATTTTTTTTAACTTTTAAAAATTTATATATTTTTTTAAATAATTCTTAATATGTCTTGAATTTATAATTAAAACTTTTGGCCTGCAAACTTTAACTCTATATACAAAAGTATTTTTAAGACAAGATCTCACGACGTAGCCCTGGCTGGCCTAGAACTCACTATGTAGATCTGGTTGGCCTTGAACTCACAGAGATCTACATGCCTCTGCCTCCTAAATGCTGGGATTAAAGGCAGGCACCACCACACCCACCAAGAAACCCTATCGTTTTTGTGTCTATAGATAAAATACTGAAAATGCATCTTGACACAAGTTGAATTTAGAAACAAGCAAACATAAGAATCAACAGAAAGGGCATTTCTAGGGTAAAAAAGAGAATGCTTCAGAGAAGTTGAGTACTTTGGGTCCGGGTTGAGTTTTTTTGTTTGTTTCATCTTTATTTTCTTGTGATTAGGTTAAATAAATAAATATGGATGAAACAAAGGAAACAATTTTTTCATCAAATTATCTAAAAAACATATCAAGTTCTAAAAACAATTACATTTTAAAATAAAAATAATAAAAATACTAATTTATGAGACACTGTTACATTCCTCCCTGGCTTTGTTCTTTAAATATGGTCTTGCCATATCACCCAGGTTGGCCTTGGCCTTGAACTCAAGTCTTCCTGACTTTGTCTCCCACGTTCATGTGATAACTTTTTTTTTTTTTTCTTTTTGAGACAGGGTCTCCCTGCAGCCCCAGCTGTCTCACTATGTAGACCAGGCTGGCCTTGAACTCACAAAGATCCACCTGCCTCTGCCTCCCAAGTGCTGAGATTAAACGCATGCACCACCATGCCAGGCTGTGATAACTTTTTTTAAAAAACTCTTCTTTTTATTATTTTATGTGTATGAGTGTATTGCCTGCGTGTAAGTGCACCCGTGTCATGCAGTGCCCTCAGAGGTCAGAAGAGGGTGTTGTTAGCCACTATATGGGTGCTGGAATTCGAACCCGGGTCCTCTGCAAGAGCAGCCAGTGCTTTTAACCACTGAGCATCTCTCCAGCCCCAAGCATGTGTTAATATTTAAAATGGGGATGAGGAGTAAAGAAAGTCATTTATCACTGCTGAATATTTTCCAGCTAAGTCTTAAATCAAGAACTTATAGTGTACATTCTCTATAGGGACATGCAAACTAGGCAGAGAGCAATTCAACACAGGCAGTTGAATGTATGTAAAGTGGAATGAAAATATACCACACCTTTAGTCTCAGCACTCAGGAGGCAGAGGCAGGTGGATCTCTGCGTTCAAGGCCAGCCTGGTCTACATGGTGAGTTCCAGGCCACCTGGGGCTACAGGGAGACCCTGTCTCCAAGACCAAAATATACCAATTGCTTTAGACATTACCGCACTAAATCTAGACCCATAAACTATTGTACAGACCTATTAGTGGCTAGACCAACATTAGCAGGCTCTGAGAGGCCATTAACCCCTTTCCTGCCCCGCCTAAGATTTAAAATACCACGAGAAAAGGCGGCGAGATCAGTGCTGGGTTGAGGCCCGAGGGGGAAAGCTCCATTATGCTGGTCAAAAGAACGGACTGAGCTTTGCCTGCCCCGGGGTGGAGTCACCACAGTCCAAGCTACCCAAACATTACATAAACATCGTCGTCTCCAGAGAATGTAACCCGGCCTGTCGGATCACCTGGCCAGGAGACCCCACCCCACCCCACCCCCGCCCCCGGAAAGCCGGTAACCCCGGAGACCGTGAAGACGTGGACTTCACCTCTTACTGAGACAACCGTGTTCGTGCACCCGGGTCCCTCACTGCGGCTACCTGAGACCTTCACTGCGCTTGCCCACTGTCCTGCGCAATCATTGAAAGAGAAATTGTTGCGTTTCTTCCCTTCAACCTTTTCTCTGGACATCAAGTTCTAAGCGTGTTTGTCCTGACGCCGGGATTCGTTTTCTCTGCATACCTGCCCTGCTCTCCCCTTTCCACCGCTGCTTGCTAGACTGAGCCTGCCCGCGTCCTCGGACCGCAGAGGGCCTGGCCAGACCTGCATCCGCGAAGACTACTCGGGTCCTCGGGTTTCATTCCCTGACGTTTCAAAATCCTCTTAGGACACTAAGAATCCACAAAGGGGAACTTGACAAATGCTTCTCCGCTTTCTTGGCCGGAGACTAAACTTGGTACCAATCACCACGCCCATTCAAAACTAAGTATTTTGTAGTTCATGTGGTCAGCACAGAGGTAACAATCTCACTTGGGAATTAAGTGATGTTCAGGGCCCGGGTGCAGGAGGGACAACCCCGCAGCAACCAGAGCGCTTTAGGCGCAAGACCCGGAGACAAGCGACGCCAGCAGCTCCGCGGCCGGCTTTTCTACGTCACTTTCCCTCCTTCTACCTCATCACTCATGATACAGCTAACAGCTGCTCTAGGAGCAAATTATACGTTAGCAGCTCTATTGGGAAAAAGTGGGCGGCTCTGAAAAGAGCCTTTGGGTGCAGGGCGCTGTGCGCGCTCACTTGGAGCTGGTGTACTTGGTGACGGCCTTGGTGCCCTCGGACACGGCGTGCTTGGCCAGCTCCCCGGGCAGCAGCAGGCGCACGGCCGTCTGGATCTCCCGGGACGTGATGGTCGAGCGCTTGTTGTAGTGCGCCAGGCGCGACGCCTCGCCCGCGATGCGCTCGAAGATGTCGTTGACGAACGAGTTCATGATGCCCATGGCCTTGGACGAGATGCCCGTGTCGGGGTGCACCTGCTTCAGCACCTTGTACACGTACACCGAGTAGCTCTCCTTGCGGCTGCGCTTGCGCTTCTTGCCGTCCTTCTTCTGCGCCTTGGTCACCGCCTTCTTGGAACCCTTCTTCGGGGCGGGCGCCTTCGTGGGCTCGGGCATCGCGACGAAGACAACAGGCACCAAACTGCAGAAGCCGGAACACTGACGCCGAAGAGGGCGAGCCACCCTATTTATCGGCCTCTTATGCAAATGAGGACGAGGAACGCCGCTTCTGATTGGTCCAAATCGTTAGCGCGCCAACGGGCCTTGCCCAATCAAAACACGAGGCGGGCACAGTCGCGCGCCCCATTGGCGTAAATGAAAACGGAAAAACAGCCAATCGCACGGCGGCCTTTTCGCGCCTCGAGGAAACTATAAGAGCCCAGCCGGGGACCCTTGGTGTCACCCAACTCCTAACTGCCGTTTGCTCTTCGCCATGTCTGGACGCGGCAAGCAGGGCGGCAAGGCGCGCGCCAAGGCCAAGACCCGCTCATCCCGAGCCGGCCTGCAGTTCCCCGTGGGCCGCGTGCACCGGCTGCTGCGCAAAGGCAACTACTCGGAGCGGGTGGGCGCCGGCGCCCCGGTCTACCTGGCGGCCGTGCTGGAGTACCTGACGGCCGAGATCCTGGAGCTGGCTGGCAACGCGGCCCGCGACAACAAGAAGACGCGCATCATCCCGCGTCACCTGCAGCTGGCCATCCGCAACGACGAGGAACTCAACAAGCTGCTGGGCCGCGTCACCATCGCGCAGGGCGGCGTCCTGCCCAACATCCAGGCCGTGTTGCTGCCCAAGAAGACCGAGAGCCACCACAAGGCCAAGGGCAAATAAGCCGCCTCAAAAACCTTCCAGTTAAGCCAAAGGCTCTTTTCAGAGCCACCCACGTTTTCATGGGAAAGAGCTTTGCGTCTGTTTCATGTCAACCAGGTGGCAAACATGGAGAACAAATGCTCCCCTAGCGCCCAATAGCAGATTTAGGTTCGCAAAGGGGCAAGTCAGAGTCACTGACCCCAACTGACCTGGAGCTCGCCGTGTAGACCTGGATCTCCGGAGCCCGCTGCCATGATTCCCTGAAATCATTTCTTAATCCCAGAGTTGAGGTCACTTCGAAACTCAAAAGGTTTGTGGCCGCCACTAAGTCATAACTTATGGGCACATATCTCTGACACAGATCATCTGGTGCACCGGTCCGGGCCTGCCTGCTTCTGGTCTCCAGCGAAATTCGGTGCCCTCGGATCAGGAAGCTAGCCGCGTGAGGTGCTGACCCCGAACTGTGCCGCCTCCCCAAGGATGCCCGTTCCCGTGAATGCTCCTGTCTTGTGGATACCCGGTCCCTGTGGATCTGGAATGTCTTTGACATTTGTAATTAATGACATCGCAAATATATATGTTTTTGTTTCTTTTCCTGTACTTAAAAGTGCTTCAAAACACATGACCCAAAAAGTGCAGAGCCTGGCGTGGTGGTGCACGCCCTTAATCTCGATATAGGGCTGAGATCCGTGTTCCAGGACAGCCAGCTCTACATAGGGAGTTCTAGGCCCGATCCGACTGCATAGTGAGAGTCCCATCTCAAATAAGTGCTCAAAATATCTAGTCGTGATAGCCATTCAAGATGCGCCCCAAACCAGTGAACTGTTGGTTTTAATAGGATTTTTAGAAGCTTTGTAGCACAATTATTGGGTGGTTTTCTCGTTCCATTGTTCAATCCTTAAAAGTACATTCCAAGTTAAGTAGTACCGTCCTTTAGAAGCAGGGCTTTATGGCACATATGAACATAAAGTTAAAAATACCTACTCCATGCTTTTCAGCTTCATTCTTTCCTGAAGCCCCTTGTCTGGAGATATTTGTAAATGTGGTTTTTTTTTTTCCTTTCTATGTTCTATGTATCTTCCATAATGTTAAGTTTTTTTCCTACTCCATAATATAAAGCAGGGCGTGGTGGGCCACACCTTTAATCCCAGCACTCAGGAGGCAGAGACAGGCGGATCTCTGAGATCTGGTTTACATAGCGAGTTCCAGGCCATCTGGGGCTACAGGGGGGTCCCGCCTCAAAAACCATAAAGAAAACTGAAAATACACTAAAAATAAAATGGATGGGACAAGAATGATGTTAAATGAAAAACAGGAAACAGCTCTGGATCCTAAACCATGGGAAAGAATGAGCACGCAGGGTTCCTTCCCCTTCCCCTCCCTCTCGGGGGCGCCTGGGCCCTACCCGCCACTGCGTTTCCTGTCTTCACTCCGGTCCGCAGGTTCCCTATAAGAGATCTGCTGACCACGCGCCACTATCAGTTTGGTTTCGTTTTCAAGCTGAGCATGTCTGGACGTGGCAAGGGCGGGAAGGGCCTGGGCAAGGGCGGCGCAAAGCGCCACCGCAAAGTCCTGCGCGACAACATCCAGGGCATCACCAAGCCCGCCATCCGGCGCCTGGCCCGGCGCGGCGGCGTCAAGCGCATCTCCGGCCTCATCTACGAGGAGACCCGTGGGGTGCTGAAGGTCTTCCTGGAGAACGTGATCCGCGACGCCGTCACCTACACAGAGCACGCCAAGCGCAAGACGGTCACGGCCATGGACGTGGTCTACGCGCTCAAGCGCCAGGGCCGCACCCTCTACGGCTTCGGCGGCTGATGCGCTCCGACCGCTGTCCCCACAAAGGCCCTTTTCAGGGCCGCCACATTCTCAACAGAAGAGCTGCGATAGCTGTTGGTGTGGCGTAGGTGTTACGAGAAAGTCTTGTATTTCGACAAAGAGTAGTTAGTGTTCGAGGTAGGTCTTCGGTACCGGTGTGAACTAACGGTTAAGTAATATTTCGTTGTATTTGTGCGTTATTTTATGCACCATTTCGGTTGGAGATTCAAATACCGTCCAGCTTCTAGGCGTCAATCTGAAAAATTAGACCGTTCACATTAAGACCTGAAACGGATTAGAGGTAGGTGGCCGAGGAAGACAGTAACGTTCTTCCCCTTACACTGAAGGCCGAAATCTGGTTATGAGTAGTTACAAGGTGAGAGAAGGAAAGAATAATGCCTGAGAAGTACGTTCATTTGGCGATGCTGCAGACATTACAGTATATACCAGTGTGTTAACATTCTGTATCTCACTTGATTTTTCTGTGTCGGGAGTGTGTGCAGTTTTTTGGTTGTGGGCTTGAACCAGGCGCCATCACAAGCTAGGCAAACACTCAAACTGAGCCGCCTCATCCTCTGGAGTAGGCGGGATTACAGGCCTGAGCCACCTACACACCCAGCATTGTGTAATATTTTAAGTGTAGCTTTATTGTTTTGTTTTCATTTTTATTTTATGTGAGTGTAAGTGCACCTGTGACCTGCAATATCCAAAGGTCAGAAAAGAACATCAGATGCCCCAGAAATGGAGTTATGGATGGTTGGTAGCCACCAAGTGGGTGCTAGGAATCAAACCCAGGTCCTCTGCAAGAGCAGCCAGGGCTCTCAACCGCTGAGCCATCTCTCCAGCCCCGATGTGTAATATTCTTTCCTACTCCACCTCTGAGAGAGAAATCAAAGAATGGGAGAATGGGGCAATGAGCCAGGATAAGTGCACGTCACTGTGCCACCTGGAATGGATCCTCTTAATCTTCCAGGTTGTGGGCCTAGCTGGGGAAGTAATTTTTATTCCTTGTGTGTATTTGTATTGTTTATTAGTACTACGTGCACATGTGTGGTGGGTGGTGATGGACACAGAACAAGGATGGCAGGGTATCTAATAAAATGTTACACATGAGAAAATTTAAATGTTAAAGAAACCTGGGGACCAGGAGACTCCCTGAGCCTCTAACTTCGGAGCCTTTTATTTGCATGGATAAAGGGAGGTACTCTAAGCAGGTTCAGGAACTAAAGGTAGGTAAATCAAAGGACATGTCTCTTCAGGAACTCGGGAAACGATTAGCAATAAAGTATGGCCTGTTTACTAGGAATAGAGCAAATGTTCACAAAACAGTAATAAGGTATAGTTGGTTTGGTTTTTTGTTTTTTCTTTTTTTTACTCTAATCTAGACATAAGGGACACTGCACTTGAGAACCTGCATCGTGCCTCTCGGGCTTTGCCATCAGAGACAATCTTGGCTGGCGGCAACTTTGCACATATGCCAAGCATGTTGTTGTGGGCAAAGTCCAAACAGGGCGGTGGTCTCCAACATATTTGAATTGTCAAATTTACAGAGCTATTACATGACCTTACCCTCTTCATTTTTCAGGTTCCAACTCATTGCAGCAAGCACTCCCATAGGAAAGTGTAGTTGGTAATCCCAGAAATAACTTGTGTCCAGTCCTTACCCCTAGGGTTTAAGGTCACTGCTGTGCCTCGATTCCCATGTATTATAGCACTCGACATGTATGATCCATGTATTATAGCACTCGACATGTATGTTTGACTATTAAATACTGAGGAAGGGAATGCTTACGTTTTATTTTAGTTTTTACTTCAAACTGATGCTGTATTCAGTCATCAGTAACACTGAAGTGTGCTTCAAACAATTCAGGCACATAATCTAAATCTCTAAGAACTCAAAATATAGATCAAGAATTGCCATGAAACTTTAGAAAATTTAGAATTTGATGAACTGTAAAAGTATAGACACTGGACTTCAAGCACTTGAAGTGAAAAAAAAAAAAGCAAGATATCTAATCTGGGGGCTGGAGGGCTCAGCAGTAGAACACTGGCTGCTCTTGTAGAGGAACCAGGTTTGAATCCCAGCACCCAAGGCACCGCCAGAGCCACCCTATGATCTCAATTACAGAAGTAAAGACAAACAGTTAAAGGAGGAAAGGGTCCCTTTGAACCCTTTTGTGCAAAAAAAAAAAACTCCAAAAAGCTTCCAAAATTCAATATGCAGTCACCACTAGGACACCTGAAATGCTACTCAATTTCTGGTTTCTACTGGATGAGAAATTGAAAGTGACTAGTCTGTCCAATTGTTACTGAGGAGGCTGGAGTAACTGTCAGGTTCAAGGCAGTGGTTGAGGGTCAATGTCATCTGTTTTAAGACATGAAGTATTCAACTAAACAATGCTTCTAGGAGTCATTAATGTAGCAAGTTTTTAATAATTTATTCAAAGTTAAATGAAATTAACATATATGACTGAAGAGGGAGGAAATGATGGACATATGTGGTCTCATGGGAAAGAAGGGCCTGCTGGAATCCTGTCCAGTCTCTCATTTGAGCAAATTATTTAAGCTCTGTGCATCCATTTTGCTATCTGTGAAAGGACATTGATATTACCTGTGATTCCTTCCAGCTGTTAAATCTGAACTCCCCATAGAAACAAAATGAGATCCAGGTGAAAGGAGGCCAAAGAGACAGGTTTACTTCCACCCAGGTTTTTCAATTAAAGTCCAATGTTCTTGCAGAACTTAAGAACAAAAATAAACCTTAAAATCAAGATGATGTATTTGCAAAAATGGCTTATCAGAGCCCAGCGTGGTGGCGCACACCCTTAATCCCAGCACTCTGGAGACAGAGGAGGCTCTCTGTGGGACTGAGGCCAGCCTGGTCTCCATAGTGAGCTCCAGGCCAGCTGTGGCTACAGGGAGACCCTGTCACAAAAGAAAAGAGAGGGAGGGAGGGAGAGAGGGAGGATAAAAAAGGTTCCAAGGTAAAGAAACCTTAATCTGATAATAAAATACACCTGAAGATGAAATTCATCACAGCAGGTCCCAGCTTCAAGTGGCTGAGATAGGTCAGAATCGGCTGCCAGGGCTGCATTGCAAGAGCCTGTCTCAAAGTCCTGTGTACTGGAAGCCTAGAATATGTACTGGAGAAACACACTAATCAATGATACAAGCATCATTTCTCTTAACTTTCTCATTTTCCATGAAATTTAAGTAGGCAGTTGTACTGCAGTGGCATTTTCTCTCATCAGCTGAGATCAGCCTAAGGGATATAAAGTTTGCCATCAACAGAAGTGACAGGGCGGATCCATGAAGACAGTCCTGCTTGAGTCATTTCCCTGAGGTGAAACACTAAGCTCAAACCACATCATCCTTTCTCTTGTTCAGACACTCTCCTCCGTTGCCTCTGCCCTTGCTCCTTTCTTTGAAACTTACCACTTCCACTGTATCCTGTAGGTTAATTCCCACATGATAAAATATGCATATTGATCCCTACCTCAGACTTATGTAAAGATGAGCTATGCCATAGGCACAGGTATAGAGGAGGGCTTGGAACATTGATAAGCCCTCAATAATAAGTGTTAAGAATCGTGTTGATATTTTTTGAAATATTAACAATAATTGGTAAATCTCTACTGAAGAACAGAACACGTTTTGTATGTTAAATGTTCAGGTTAAACCCTGCTCATCTTTAAGCTTCCAAGAGGGCAGGCAGTTCATTCCATATGCTCTCTAGCTGAACCCTCAAAGCCTGGAGGTGTGGATACATATATACACTCATGTTTCATTAACTGAAATAAGTCGAGTCTTTTGAGCCTGGCCTCCGTTTACCTTTTTATTATTTGAGACATGGTCTCATGTAGCCCAGGCTGACTAGAATAGCCTAGAAGTTCTGAACCTGCTTCAGCCTTTAGTGTTGGGTGACTGGCAGGTGTGAGTGCTGGGTGACAGGTGTGCTCCACCACTCCCGTTTGTGCAGTGCTGAGACTGAGCCCAAGGCTCCCTGGTGCCACACAAGTCCTTTACATCCTTAGCCCTGCTCTCTGCTTCTGAATCACAAATTAAGCAAGGACAGAACGTGACTTAAAATTCATTAACACGTCCCTTTGTCCAAAGTCCACAAAACTGGGCAGCCTGACTGCTCAGACCGGTGGAACGGGC